CATCCTACCACCACTTATTGTGATAAGTAAACGTCAATAAGCTCAAAGCATAAAATTCCCCTCAAAGCCTTCTAATTTTATTTCATCTGGCTATCTTCCCCATGAAATAAACAGAAAAAATGATCAGTCGGCCCTGTACAGACATGCCAATGAGTATTCTAACATAAATCTGTGTTACAAATGTGAATACATCAGAATTCATTTCTCCTTTTCCTTCATTGTTAGGATCACAAAACCCAAGGAAGAGGAACAATTTTATGAATTTTCTGACCACAGTCTCCAAAGTATGAAACTTATTGCGGAATAGTCAAACATAAGAAAACAACACCAAACTTAACATGCCATTGATAAGCATAGCCACATTCAAATTGTGTTCAAAAATACTAGAATAGACTGTAGATTACCTAAACTTGTAGAACAGGAAACCACCAATAATAACAAATGAGAAGCATACTACAAGAAGAACCACAAGGAACCTGCAAGATTTTATAAGTGAAAAATCAATCATGGGCAACACAAAGCCTTAATTACAAGTACATGCAGATGTAGGAGGTTAGTAGGAGGTTAACAGGAGATATTTTAAACAACAGATGGCAACATAAACAACTTTAGACCATCTACAAGCACAATTTACTACCAGTAAGCTGCCTATTGATGGTAAGATTGTTTGCTAGATTTCATCAAAATTCAAACTACTTCAAAGATGAAGGAAAAAAATCAGACAAAGAATAGTCCTAAATGGGTGTTGTAAGCATATGATCTTATTTTGCAAAAATCAGCCACTCTCAAAAGTCCAACATGCAGTTCTGTGCTTATTTGAATAAGACCTTCGCTATTGCACACAAACTTGGCAACTAACTTAATAATGTCAAACTTAATAAAATTATTTTAAAAAGTTCTGCTGTATACTAAATTAAATGAGGAAATAATGAAAAAGGAAAATAAATAAGCAAATGATGCCAAGATGAGATTTTATTGCCTGATGAGGAAAAAAGAAAGTTAGAATGAATTGGAAGAACTGTGAACCAGACCCATGACCCTTAATGAAATAACCTTGCCAAAAATGAAGTAGCTTGTGCATTTTACTTACGTTGCAATATTTTTCTCTAGTTGAATATTGAATAAATACAGTAGCCGTGCAAAGTTCCATTGGATATCATGAAACGAAGGTAAGGAAACATCCAACTTAAGCGGTGTAGGTTTATTCATGGAATTGGATATGCAAGCAAAAGGTAGGCTTGTAGACCCAGAAGTCAGAACAGCAGGTGGAAGGAAGTTTTGAACCATCTTAACTAATGTACTAACAAAATTC